CAATAGTGACATTATAAGCAAAAACGTTATCGATAACAATATTATTTCGGTTCCATCTTTTTTCCGTTGAGACATAACTTATTGAGATCTCTCCATTCTTATCTTTTTCAGGTACCTGAATCTCCCTTGAGGTTTTATCATTTGTTATGTCGTTGTGCTCTTCTTGAGTCACTACCTCCGTATTATGATCACTTTGATCATTTGCTCCTTTTCTTTTTCGAGGATTTTTATCCTTAGAACCGATAGGTCTACCACGTTTCAAGAATGGTTTAAACTCATTTGCTTTAATTAAATGTCCTACCGAGATATCCACTCGAATTGGAGCATTAGCAGCTGGAATATGTGACTTAGTCACCCTTGGTAGGTCAGTGAATGCATTTGGCAGTTGATTTACAATATTTTACAAATGAATTATCTTTTGAACCTCTTATTTACATTAATTTATTCGAGGATCTAAATGAGATAGTGATAATACATTCCAATCTATATCCTTTTTCAGCTGCTTATTTTCTCCCCCTAATATTGGGTATACTGATTCATCAAAATGACAATCAGAAAATCTTGCTGTAAATAAATCTCCAGTCATAGGCTCTAGATATTTCATAATAGAAAAAGATTCATACCCAACATATACTCCCAACCTTCTTTGGGGATCCATCTTTGTGCATTATGGTGGAGCAATTGGAACATATATCGCACAACCAAAGATTCTAAGATGAGAAATATTTGGCTCCTGACCAAAAGCCAATTGCAATGGGGAGACTTTATGATAACTTGTGGGCCTTATCCGCACAAGTGCTACTGCATGTAAAATAGCATAACCCCATACTGAAATGGGAAGTTTTTTTCTCATAAGCATTGGTCTAGCAATTAATTGGAGGCATTTGATCAATGATTCCGCTAGACCATTTTGTGTATGAACATGAGCAACCGGATGCTCAATTGTTATCCCAGTTGATATACAATAATCATTAAAAGCTTGGGTTGTAAACTCACCAGCATTATCAAGACGAATTGTCTTAATTGCATAATTTAAAAATTATGCTCTTAGCTTTATTATTCGAGCCAACAATCTCGCAAATGCCATATTGCGAGTTGATATTAAGCACACATGTGACCATCTTGTAGATGCATCTACCAAAATTATATAATATCTGAATGGTCCACATGGAGGGTGAATGAGCCCACATATATCACCCTGTATACGTTCCAGAAATGTAGGGGAATCCATCCTAACTTTAATAGCTGATGGTCTAATAATTAATTTGCCTTGAGAACATGCAGCACAAGAGAATTCTTTAAATTGAAGAATCTTTTGGTTCTTCATTGAATGTCCATGTGAATTCTCAATTATTTTACGCAGAACCAGGATGACCTAACCGGTCATGCCAAATAATAAAATTATCTTGATTAGTAAATTTTTTATTTACTATGGCATGTGTTTCTATTCTGCTAATACTTGTGTAGTATAAGCCGGAGGAAAGTGCAGGTAACATTTCAAGCACATATTTCTTACCAGACATTATTGTAGTAATATAAAGATATTCAATCTTTTCATCATTTGTAGTCTCAATATGGTAGCCATTTTGGCGAATATCTTTGAAACTTAATAAGTTTCTTTGAGATTTACTACAATATAGTGCTTCATCAATAGCCAAATTTGTTCCTCATGGTAGTAATAAATTGGCTCTTCCAGTTTCTTCAATTAATTTTGTACTACCGAATATTGTATTAACATTGACTTCTTTCATTACCAAATAAGAGAAATATCTCTTATCTCTTAAAATAGTGTATGTTGTAGCACTATCCAGAAGACATATATCATCTTTATTAATCTTGAGTCCAACTGAAGACTGAAAAATTTTCATATTCTTCATAAAAAAAAAATTAAAAAAGTACATTATAAGAAATATGAAAGACAAACAAAATATATATTAAGAAATACATTAGGAATGTAGAAACTAGCAACACATGATACATTAGGAAAATACACTTAAGAAAAATAAACTAGTTGCAAACATAACAAAATGACAACTTTTATTATAACTTCATTTCCAGTAAGATGATTATTTCTTCTGTCAATATCCTCAAAGAAGTCTCCAGCTTCTAAATGAGTAATATTTGCTAGGCCTCCAAAATCATCATCTTTATATGCAAGATGTGCCTTAGAATCATATTTGTTTGAGGGACCTTCTTCATCATCATTATTTTGAAAGGTCAAGTGTGCCTCCATATTATTTTCTTTCTTTCTAAGGGAGGCTTGATAAAGTTTGACAAAATAATCTGGTGTACGATAAATGCGTGCCCAATGACCTTTCATACCACATCGGTGACACATACTAATTTTACCTTTTGAAGGATTAATTTGAGAACCCTTATTGTTCTCCTGTTTATTTTCACCATAATAACGATAATTGTTTCGTTCCCTGCCACGTTCACGTCTACGACCACGGTAATTATTTTATTTTCTTTCAGACTTATCATATGCTGCTACAACATTCACTTCTGGGAATGGTGCTGACCCAGTGGGACGGAGTTCATAATTTTTCATTAAAAGAGTATTATTCTGCTCTGCCACAAGTAGGCATGTGATTAACTCAGAATATTTCTTAAAACTCTTTTCACGGTATTATTGTTGTAGCACCACATTTAAAGCGTGAAAAGTAAAAAATATTTTTTCTAATAAGTCTTCATCTGTGATAGTGTCTCCACATAATTTTAATAGAGAACTTACTTTAAAGATAGCCGAATTATACTCACTTACGATTTTAAAATCTTGCAACCTTAAATGTATCCACTCATACTGAACTTTTGGTAATACCGTAAGTTTTAGGTGGTCATATGGATCCTTCAAATTAATCCATAACTCAAGTGGATCTTTTACAGTTAAATATTCAGTTTTTAACCCTTCATGTAGATGATGACGAAGGAAAATCATGGCCTTCGCTTTATCCTAATTTGATGCTTCATTTTCTTGTCCATGATAAATAATTCTTCCCGGTAATGTCTAGTGCCACGAATTCAAGTTTTGACAAGTTTGACATATTAAAACTAATCACAAAAGTAAATGGGTTAGAACGAATAAAAATAATTTTCAATGAAAATATACTTGTAAAAATAAATCAGACAACTAATTAAGAAGTTGATCACTTCAAACATGTAGTATAAAAAAAAAAAGAAGAGAGATGTAAGTAACATATAATATATATGTCAAATAAACAAGAATTATGGAGTATATGAATAAACACAAAGAGATATATTTAGTATGGTAAAAGAAAAGCAATTTATTATAAACGTGGATTTGAGGAATAATCATATACGGTAATAAAAGTGAATGTCTTCAAATATTACTTTCCACCAATTGTAAAGTAATTTAAACTAGTATGTACAATAATTACTTTGTCACCTTGGTTATCACTATTTTATTTTTGTAGAATGTCTTGAAGATGAGTTTTGCTCTACGCAAGTCCACACATATTTATTAAATTATTTTTGTTAGTTTAACGCACTTAATATCTATATCTTATATTTTCTTTAACAATAATCAAGGTAAGAGAACTTCAGTAACATGATCAACTAAAATAAATGCTTAACCGTATATGAATTTATTAATAAATAGCATATTGGTGCATATATATTACCATAAACTAAAAGAATATATAGTGATATACCTGAAGGAGAATCGAACACAACTAGGATGTGATTGTAAAAATGAAGGTGACAATCGTGCTGATAACGTGTTATAAATATAACACAAAATAACAATATCGAACAAAAAAAAAGCTAAGAGATATAGAGAGAAAGAGAGGAAGAGAGATTCTTATTTCTTCTTCAATTGTGTGTTTTTTCCTATCTATTACAAGGCCTTTATATAGGCATGAAAAGTGAATAAAAATATGTCATTGAATATGTCATTAAGCATAGAAATATGTCCTTGAATATGTCATTAAACATTTGAGAAGATCATGGAAGAAGAGTAGACATCCAACATAATTTGATTTCTCTTATAACAACAATATTTATTTTAGGTCCCATGTAAACTAGGAGTATAACTTCATAAAGATCGTGTTTTTACAATTATTATATATATATATATATATNTATTCGATTTTTTGTTTTAATAATTAAAACGTGAATACGGATCATAATTGTGAATATATTGTTTATTATTCAACCAGCTAAATACGTTGATTCTATGCAAGAACTATAATAGGAAACAGAATAAATACTCGCCAACAATATATAGAATGTATGACAATTCAAGTTCGAGGCAAAAGAAAATCACACTATAAAGTAAAAGTCACTCAAAGGCAACTTCTAAGTTTATCGAATATTAATAAATCTTATCTGCATTAATTCACCAAATATTTTGAACTCCAACAAAGAGAGTGTAAACAAAGCTAAACAGTGGAAGGATAACAGTCTAATCAAAAGTAATACTCTCTGTCTTACTAAAAAATGACTAAGTATTATATTTACGGAGTGAAACGATTTTTTTCTGTTGATTTTGAATTTTAATTTTGTTTTATATTTTGACTATACAAATTCTGATTCATTATACTTCTAAAGTAACTTATAAATATGTAAATTTTATTTTTAAAAAATTGATATATAAATTCATATAGTAAATTAGACATATATTGTACTTTAAATTCAATGAATATATTGGTAATACTCAACTTTTTGTTAATTTTTGTACTTTTTATGCCTAAAAATAAATATTTTAAGCACTTTTTATCATTACAAAATACTATAAAAACTAAAAAAATACTTAAAAACTAATAAGCACTTAAAATAAGTCAATTCAAACATTCTAAATACAGAAGAAAAGAGATGAATTTGATGAAAATACAAAACAACTGAGTAGATAGATAAAGTATTACAGTAATTCTCAACGAAAAGCATAGGTATTATTAGGATCTGAAGACTAGTGATCCACAGCCTAGGGAATTGTACTTTGTAGTAGTAGTAAAAACACATCCACAAACTCACGTGTGACTTGTGATGTTAAGCTTTTGATACCTTTTCATGAACATGAAAACTCTGTAAATATCACAACCATAACCTCAAACATCACAAAGAAACTCTGTTTAGCTGCTAATATTCTCTTATCTAACTGTAATTATCCAAATTTAAAAATAAAAAAAGGAAAAAGAAAGTGGAACTATCAGATAGCAGAAAGAAAGAGAGAGAGAGAAAAAAAAGGGGAAGCTTGTTGTTGCTGAGAAGGAAAGAAGCAGAACAGCAAGTTACTATCCAACCCTAAAGCCAAAAGCCTGTTTCAAGAATCATCATCATCATCGTTATCAATTGCTTCTGCTGCTGCTGCTACAATTTCATTTCTTGTACCTTTTTGGGTGTTCATTTTTTATTGGAAAAAATGGTTGCTTAGGGTTTACTTCTATTTTGATCCACAACACACTCTTCTGCATTTTTAGGAAAAATGCTTTCTTGGGTTTACTTTTGTTTTATTTCACAACCCATCTTTGCATTTTGCTGATCTGTACAATTTCTTGCAGATCCAGCTTTGGGTTTCTGCTGATTCTTGATCTTTTCTTCTTTCAAGCTCAGATTTTTCTTCAAGTTTCAAGCTTATGGTGTCAAGCTAAGCTTTTGGAGTAGTGGGGTTTGAGTGGTTTCTTCTATTTATGCTAATTCCACTTTTGATGAGGTTATAAGCTCAAGGGGAACAGTTATTTGACTTGCTTTTGTTTAATTAGTGATTGGGTTAGGTTTCTTGAGGATACTGGTTCGTAATTGTGCATTTTTGGGGGAATTCCTGTTTGATTTTGTAGTATCCACGCTTATAGTGATTGATCACTTGGAGTTGAACTGTGGTTTTGTTGCCAGGATTTTGTTATAAAGTTGACTTAGTGGCTAAAGATTCAGATTTGGCCTTAGATTATGGTGTTTGGAATTGAGGTTATTTTAGCTAGTTTCAGACACTGAAGTGCAATGTGGCAAGGACTTTTGTCTATGTGTGAATTGTACGTAGAAGAGGTAGTTTGGAGTAATTTGAATTCCCACTTTGAGATTTACGTGTAAACTTGAGTTAGCTTTTTGATTCCCAAGTGAAAGCTGAGTTGTTTTAGTTAAAGTGGGTTGAAAGTCTTTGCGCGATTTTTGTTTATGGGGAACATGATATGCTATTTTAGTGTTGGACTCCTGGGGGGAGTTTGACTGATTGAGTAAGCTGAAGCGGACACTGTGATGCCTCCTTCACCGGCTATGAGATGCTCTCCTGGAAGGGAGATCAGGGCAGAAAATCACAAGAGAGGGCGTAGTCTTGAAAGTGGGATTCATTTGAGGGAGAAGGATGATGATCTTGCCCTGTTTAATGAGGTGCAAACCAGAGAAAGAGATAACTTCTTGCTTCAATCAAATGATGACTTGGACGACTTATTTTGTAAGATGTTTGCAATAATTTCTGGCTTACATTTCAGAGCTTTATTTTGCTGTGAAGCACAGAAAGTTGTGCTTTCTTTAATTTGTCTGACTATATTGCTCGTTGTTGTTGGCAGCAACTAAATTGAGGTATTTTTCGGATTATAAGCTTGGAGTATCGATTCCAGCTCGAGGAGAGAGTAGTGACCTGCTTAATGTGGAGGGTGATAAGAATGACTATGACTGGTTGGTTATGTTTATCTTTCATGCATTTACTCTTTTCTCCCCGATTCTGTCAGATTGTGCATAGATGATGAAAATGAACTCAAATCCATAGTTTATCCAATAGCTACATGTTTGTCCAAACTTGCTATAAATGTTTTTGATTTAGTTAAAAACTTCTGTTGTTTACTAGCCCAAAGCTTTGGAGCCAAAAAATGTAGGCTTTCTTGTTTACAGTAAAATTTTAGAAAGATGAAATGCATTCTCTTTTCATTCAGAGACGTAACTATTTATTTCTTTTAGCATGCTTGTTAGCTGGTGTAAGTTCTTCAATATACCCCTCATGCCTAATATGCTGAGTTATTGATGAAAGGTTATTGACCCCTCCGGACACTCCTCTTTTTCCTTCTTTGGATGACGAGAGTCATGAGACACGCCCGACTAATCTTGAGCAGAGGGGCCGACCTAGAAGTCAACCCATTTCAATCTCTAGATCGTCAACGGTGAGCATTTTAGTTGTGTGACTGTTTTCCTTCCCCTTTTTCGGGAACTGTATTAATAACTATAGTCAAATAACATACCAAATGCTACCTAACCATATCAAATGCATGGAGCTCCTGTTTTAATATTAATCAATTTAATAACTTTCATATGGATTGAATGACAGATGGACAAGAGTTACAGAAGTAGTAGAGGTAGCGCCAGTCCAAATCGCCTTAGCCCATCTCCTAGGTCTAGCTATACTGCCAATCAATCAAGAGGGAGACCATCTTCAGCTCCTCATTCAAGTCCACCACCTAATTTGCGGCATTCTACTCCAACAAGGAAACCGTCTCCCTCACCTAATAAACTCTCTACACCTCCTCCAAGGTCCTCTACACCAACTCCTCGGAGGATGAGCACAGGTTCTAGTGGTACGGCAGCTCCATCGCGAGTGAGGGGCACCTCTCCTGTCAAGACTGGTAGAGGGAACTCGGCATCACCAAAGATTAGGGCATGGCAGTCAAATATTCCAGGATTTTCTTTAGAGGCACCTCCTAATCTTCGCACTTCACTGGGTGATCGCCCTGCTTCCTATGTGAGAGGGTCCTCTCCTGCATCCAGAAGCGGAACTAGGTCTGGAAGACAATCAATGTCCCCGACTGCTACTCGAAGTGTTAGTTCATCACATAGTCATGAACGTGACCATTTTAGCTCTCACAGTAAAGGTTCAGTTGCATCGTCTGGTGATGACGACATAGATTCTCTACAATCCATTCCTGTGAGCAGTTCAGATCGCTCAGGTCCAAGAAGTATCAATGGATTTCAAAGTAAGAAAGCTCTTGGCCTTTCAAAGAAGCCAACAAGAGTAGTGTCCTCAAGTTCTGCTCCGAAGAGATCCTTTGACATGGCAATCCGGCAAATGGTATATTACTTTCCTTCTAATCTTGCCATTCTTTTTAGTTACTCGAATATGTGAAACACTAATATGAACCTGGCATTAATGTTCTCTATCACTTTCTCATAAAGATGTCAATAGCATGTACAGTTGATTGGAAAATGGAACCATTTTGCTCAAGTTGTGCTAAAAATGGTGTTTGGGTGGTCCCCAGCTGACATGTATACTTTGTAATGCTTGGGACTAGTTGTCAAAAATGCAAGTAGAAAGCTTAAAGAAATATTGACATTTTAGGAAGTATACGATGGTGTTGGAAGTTACAATTTTTGGTTTATTTATGCCTAAAAACTTCTTTAACGGCTTTAACATTTTCATTACACTTGAAACATGCGTACGGATCTCTGCTTGATGTACCACATTTTACTAAGGAAGCTATCCTGGCAATATTCTTAAATTACAATATAAAGACACACACGCACACTAATATCTTCCAAATTTGTGTTCTTTTTTTTAATTGGTACTTTCTGAACCTGTATTCTTCTCCATATTTTCAAATTTTCTAAATCTGCTGAGAGAAGTAATTTACTATATCAATGAAATACTGATAGCACCGGGTGATGGACTATAATGTGACGTATAGGATCTGGAATTACAGAAGAGTAAGGTGTCTGTCTAGTTGGCTAATTGGTTATTCTACCAGCGAAGCTTGGTCATCCTTTAAACCCTTTAAGCTGAAATATTTTCCCAGATTTCTCTTAAATTGTGATTTTCCCATGAAGCATAAAAGATTGAATGGCAACATACTGGTCTTGGGATAAAAAAATGGAGAAAATTATGGTTTTTCCTTTCTTGTTTTTATTACAAAGGATCTTTTTGTATACATGCAATTGCATTTTCATTGTGCAATTTATTATACTAAATGACTCTCTTTGAAGGGGAAAGGAAGAGTAGTAAATATGATATTCTTTTATTGAATTCCAATAAGCTATTTTCCTTGAAAAGAAAGTTATCAAGAAACAAACTTTTGTTTTTAATTTTTTATTATGTTGGTAGGTAGTTGAGAGGTAAGCTTATTTTTATTGTACTCTCTTTTTATTTCCTTTGCATTAAAATTCTGATAGCCTCATCATTATTAAGTGAGTAGAAGTTGCCAAGTTGGGAACTTAATTAACTTTTGAGAAATTTTAAAACAACTACATACTGAAAATATACTTACTTGTTTTTCTAATTCTTACCTTTTTATTTGTTTAGTTTAATTTCAGAATTAGCTAGTCCAACTAACAATAGTTTCTTAAAATTATTTATCAACAAATATTTTGTCAAAGTTCTCCAGAAAATGAAGAACGGTGTCTGTTACATTTATTTTTGGTTATGTTTTCCTAATGGGGCTAGTGGATCTAAGCATGGTAAGAAAGATTGATACGCTACATTATTATCTCTTTTCTAGGTTCAAACTCAGGTATGGGTTGATATTAGAGTGCTCACCATCATATTTAAAATCATATATAAAGTTTGTCGCTATAGTTTACTTGAGATAATAGTCATATAACATAGAATGGAAGAGTAACAGTTACAAAGAGCAGTATACTTGTTATATGCACCTTGCATGAGGAAGGTGAGGTGTAGATTGTGTACGGACTTATGTTTTAGTGCTGCATCATGTGGTTGTCCATTGATGCTTCATTTGTAGTTAAAGGCATGTCTTTTTACACCAAGGTAGTAAATAAGTCACAACAACAACAACAACAACAACAGACCCAGTGGAATCCCACCAGTGCGGTCCGGGGAGGGTAGTGTGTACGCAAACCTTACCCCTATCTTGTGTAGGTAAGAGGTTGGTTCCGATAAACCCCCGGGTCAACATAGTCGGCAACAAAGCAAAGGAAATAAAGTAATAAAAAAGACATGGAAAAAGCAGTAACAACAACAAGATAGTAACAGAAGCGAAGCAGAAGGACATCAGATAGATAGAGACAACCAAGAATAAGACTAAAAAAGAGTAATACTAAGGCCTCATTTGTTTGCACTTAATGGAGGTCTGAATCTTAATCATTCAGATCTCAGTTATTAAGTGCGTTTATTTTTTAGATCTGAATCTTAATCATTCAGATCTTAACCATTAAGTCTGTTTGTTTTTTCAATTTTACAACTATTTAATGGGTCTGAATAGATCTTAGTCATTAAGATATATAACAGAGTCTTAATATCATTATTAAGATTTCAAGAATTTATATAAAAATGATATTTCACTATTACTCATACACTTCCACCACTAATCATCATCACCACTTCTATTGCTTCCCCCACCATTATAGACTACCATCAACCATTGCCCACCACCCATTACCACCATCCTCAACCATAACCACCACCGCTGTGAAGCACGAATGCCAGTTGTCACTACCACTAGCCATCATTTTCAACCATCACCACCAACCACCATTACTTTAACAATCACCAATCACCACAACCACCACTATATATCACTCCTCATTGTTATCAGTCACAACCACAGATAACTATTACTATCATCCACCATCTACTACCCACAATCACGACTATCAACTAACTCCACCACCAACCACTACGAACTCCGCACCCACAATTACCATTGCGAGCCATCATCACCACCAACCACCATATAATTTTAAAAAATATTTTATTAATATAGTATTAGATTAATTAGTACTATTTAATTTTAAAATAAAGACAAGTTTTACACATTAAGATGTAGAGAAAACAAACAGTCTTAATTATTTAGTATTCAGATCTTAATATAATATCTTAATATTCAGATTCACACGTTTTAATCTTAATACATGTATTAATATTCAGATATGTATTCAGATTCAAACGTCTTAATCTTAATAAAAACAAATGAGGTCTAAAACTACCAGCAAGGACAGACATAAAGCTCTACTACCTACTAAATTTTCACCCTAATTCTCGACCTCCACAACTTCATATCCACGGTCATGTCCTCAGTAAGTTGAAGAAGCTTCATGTCCTTCCTAATCACCTCTCATCAATACTTCTTTGGCCTCCCTCTACCTCTCCTTATACCTCCCTTATGACATCGTGTTGATTGACAAGACGTACGGTGGTGTCAATGCTAGGCTGGAGGTTTGGAAACAAATCCTAGAGACCAAAGGCTTCAAGTTGAGCACGACTAAGACCGAATACATGAGTTAGGTGGTTTTTGTTACGTCTTAATCTTAATTTTATTCTTAAATGTCTTAATCTTAATAAAAACAAATGAGGCCTAAAACTACCAGCAAGGACAGACATAAAGCTCTACTACCTACTAAATTTTCACCCTAATTCTCGACCTCCACAACTTCCTATCCAGGGTCATGTCCTCAGTAAGTTGAAGAAGCTTCATGTCCTTCCTAATCACCTCTCATCAATACTTCTTTGGCTTCCCTCTACCTCTCATTATACCTCCCTTATGACATCGTGTTGATTGACGAGACGTGCGGAGGTGTCAATGCTAGGCTGGAGGTTTGGAAACAAATCCTGGAGACCAAAGGCTTCAAGTTGAGCACGACTAAGACCGAATACATGAGTTAGGTGGTTTTTGTTACGCAATCAAACAAAAGCCAACACACCACTTAAGAGAGGACTAAGAATATTTGACAAGGGCCATCAATTAACCTTTTGCTCCTGCTTGTTCTTCCCGCTTACCAAGTTACTTTGTGATTTCCTTCATTGGCATTTTTTGTAAGTTTTTTTTGGGAAGTAACCACGTGAGTGTAGCATTGCTAGCAAGTAAACATCTTCAAACTTGCAAAACTGAAAATGTTAACCCATTGCATCACCACAGTGCAAGTGAAACTCCTCAGCAAACTAATTAAAGATATCTGNGCATGGGAGAATGTCTAGCTTTCTCGTTGAATTTCTTGAGAAAATATGTTTTCTGAAGTCCATCCCTGCACAACCCCATTGTAGGATCAAAGGAAAGCTCCCCAGAATATGTTCAGGCCTCTCATGTCAAGTGTCCCTAGTTCAACCTTCTACGCAGGTAAAGCTAGCGCCGCACATCGTTCTATGATTTCCAGAAACTCTTCTATCACAACTAGCAGTAATGCTAGCTCCGATCAAGCTACGACTGCACTACATGACACTGAAGGAAGTGAGCAAAACCAGGAGGATATAGGTAATGGTCAAGTAAAGACAACATATGCTGATTTACAGGAGGAAGTTTTTGTCCTTGATAAGGCTGATGCTACGAATGAAGCTCTTGGGAAGCAAATATATGATAGGGCATCTTGTAGTCCGCTTGGTGAACTTGATGGTGACCTGATGGTTGATTCTCAACTTGTTGGCTATGAAATTGGCTGTCCACGTGATAAAGCTGTGGAAATCACAGCAGATTTGGAAGTCTTGAACTCGAATGTCAATGTGACACGTATAGATGCTCTAGAAGATGCGGTACAGTGTTGTAGATGTGGTCAGTGGTACTATGACACTGAAACAATTGATGGAGATCTAAAGCTTTGTCCAGATTGCAGAAGTTCAGAAGTACAATTGCTTGGTGAGAGTTCTCCTGAAACTTTGACAGCAATCCTAGAAGACAGACTAGTTGATGGTTTTGTGCCAGCTGGCGATTCACGTAATTCCTCAGAAGCAACTGGCAAGAATATATTAGGGGATTGTCATACTAGATTGAGTCCTGATGCGGGTGAGAAGTCTTTTATGAATCCGCATGTAGATGAAGGTGTGCAAGCTCTTGCCAACCGCCAAGCAATGGCTCAATCGCCCAATGCTAACATTAGCTCCGAGCCTGACCTGATTGCTGAAATTCCAGAAGGTGCAGGTATTTCAGTGCTGCTAAATAGATCAAGTAGTGGGAAAGGAAACATTGTTCAAAACAGAACACTTTATGCCACTAATATAAATTATGATGATTTATCATATGTAAGAGACACAGTGAACAGCTTGAGAAGCTCCACTGGGTATGGCAGTGCATCCGCTTCATCATCCATTGACTTGGGTTCCACTGGTCAGACAGAGACTCGCTTCCAGCGGCAATTAAGTGGAAGGAAACTTGACTTGGAAAATTATAGGAATCAGGGTGATAGAAAGCTCCAAAGCTCCAACTCATCCTTGTCTGGAACTTCAAGTCATGCAGTCCAAACTTTAAGCATCACAACAAGTTCCCTTGAAGAGTTCTCTGAAACATCTGCTTCTGCCCACTTGCAAAAGAATGTTGATCGAGAAGAACAACTGCTGCATGGGGAAAATACAAAAGTGAACAACTTTTGCACTGATGTTGAGAGTGATGATAATTGTAGAATTTCCTCTAAATCAGTGGATCACACAGGATCTGTGCCGTCAATTGCAAATTTTGACGAGTCCACTTCATCTGTGAATGGTGAAAACTTGGCAAACAACTCAGACAATTCTGTGAACGTGGAACCTTGTGGTTTGATTTCTGAAACTCGTCCTATTGAGGAAGATGTTTCAAATTCCTCCGTTGACAAAGTGGAGGTTGCGACTTCTTTGAATCAGAGCTCACTAGATGCAATATCTGAGCTGGAAATTGAGAATGGTCATGTGGGTTCTCCTGATTCACAATCTGATATCTGCTCCTTTCACTCGGAGAGCAGCATAGATGAATTAAACGAGCAGTCCTTGCATGCAGCATCTGGTGATGGCAATGAAATTGTAGCGACTGTTGAAAAATCTGAGTCCATGGATCACAAAGACATCATTCTCGGTATGTATGTTTCTTGCATTGTAAATATGCTTTTCTTGTTAAGGTTTTCCCTTTTGGGTTTGCTATATTAACTGTTGAACCAAATGACTTAGGGAATCAAGTTTACAATCCTTTAATCCCGTTGTGGAAAGTTTTAAGGTGTATATCCACCAGTTTACTCTTTTGTATCTGAAGATCCATCTCTTTTGACAGAAGAATCAACTGTTACGCTGGAGGGGCAAGGAGGAAATAAGGCGAGAAGCTTGACACTAGAAGAAGCTACTGACACAATACTGTTTTGTAGCTCCATTGTACATGACCTTGCATATCGAGCTGCAAACATAGCTATTGAAAAAGAGAATTCAGTTATGTTTGAAGATTTGCGGCCCACAGTGACTGTAGTGGGCAAAGCAAATTCGGATAGAAGGGATCCGCGTGGTAGAACCTCTGGTAGACGTAATTCTAAGTCCTCACTAAAGACTAGGCAGAAGATGGATACAGACACAAAATCTCCTCGAAACGACACCAACACCGAGAGTGATGAGAAAACCGACAAATCCACAACTCGCATTGTAGGAGCTCCTATTAAAGGTGATAGCTTGAATCCTCCAAAACTTGAATCCAAGTGCAACTGCACCATAATGTGAGTATTCTTGGTGCAATTCAGTTCATGGGGGCCTATTTGGTAATCAACAATTCCTTTTTTTGTTTGTTTTGAATTATTTTGTAAGAAGGAAATGTGTTTCTAATAACATAATCATTGTAAAGTTTAATTGATTGTTAGGGAGATAAATAGCAGAAGGCATTGGAGGTTGTTCCAATGGCCGTATTCTTGTTAGTCATTTGTATGTGATTGTAGTTTTCCACTGGAGAGCAAGTGTGAATTCTTTTTACTTTCTGGTGCTAGAGGAAATCCTTAATTCAGAACCCCTCCATTTGTGTTCATTATATTTTTGCTGCAGATAAAAAGGTTAATTAGCTAGGGTGTGGGAAGTTTTATTCAGTTATTATTAACATGTCATTATATTATACTTTATGGTAAGTTTTATTGCACGTGCATATATATCTAAAAGTTATATCTTGCAAATTCTAACGGTCACCTTGCAATTTAAATTATTTTAATTTGAACATCTGTTTAACAGAAATCCTACATTTGACTTTTGGATTTTAAGTACATGGACTTATCCGTACCTGAGCAAATTGATATCAATCGAAGTGAAATAAAAATAGTTCAATTGAAAAAATGAAATATTCATACGTACTATAAACATAGCTTTCATGTACAAATGCGCACAATTATTGTTTCTGATAATTGAAACATCTTATTAATTTAGCTAGCATTTGGACATAGATTTGGTTGAAGTTTACAAAAACAGTTTTTGAAGTTGTGTTTTGAAAAATAGTTTTAGAAAGTTGAAGTTGTGTTTGGGCATGCATTTTATTTGAAAAACGATTAAAGTTTTGTGAGTGGAAGAAAAATATTCATTCATTTGGGAACTTGAAAATTTATTTCAATTTTTTTTCCAGAAACTAATCAAATTTTATGAACAAATAATAATTTAAATTTTTTTTGGAAAAAGTAGCCAAAATCTATATCCAAACGGGTCCTTAGTATCTAGTCTTCACGTTTAAATATTTTCAAAGAATTTTTAAAACCTTATTTAGCTTATTATACGCGTTACTCTTCTTAGCACATTGATATATGAAAGGATTAGCGATCAGGTAACGATTGTGTGAAATTCTCTCTCGGCGCATGTTAAACAAGGTCTGCTAATGTACGCTGGCAGACATGACTCGCTAAAAGAGGAAGAGCTCCATAGTTGCGGCAAAGTCTACTGATGAAGAGGAAAAGATGGTAGAGGATGCTACTAGACCGTCACACCAGAAACGGGTATTCCCCAAAACCTAGGGCTTGTCCAATTAATTCATTGGATGCAAGGAATGGGTAGTGCTTCGACCATTTTACATGGCCCTATGAGGAAGGAACCAATGGCTCCGGCAGAATTGCAGGCTCCGGTGGCTAAGACCTCTACATATCCAAAGCAGTTTGAGATAGATACAGCAACAACGGTGAGAAGATTAACCTTCTCAACTGGATCGGGGGTACCACAACCAACCCTAGCTGATGTCATTCAAGGAAATAGGTCACAACAGCAGGGGTTAAAGCCCAATAACTATCCTCATATTCTTAAGGATGGAATCAAAGTAGTCAGATTGAACTACACAGATATTGAAGAGCAGAATATGAAATGGAGGACAAGCCTAATTGGCTATGTGCTAGGTGGATTCTCCTATTCAAAGATATGTTGAAGTTTGTGTATGGTGTATGGCACTTTGTCTTGACACCTCAGGTATTACTTCACAAAGAAGGTTACTTTATCTTTAAATTCAACTCTAAAAAAGATCGAGATCAAGTTCTTCGAAATGGTCTATACACATTCAATAACCGTCCAATGATACTAAAACAATAGGAACCAGATTTCAAATGAGCAAGGAAACTACAAACAATATCCTTGTTTGGGTTAACTTCCCTGGGCTGCCTATTCAGTACTGAACTGCAAAAAATTTAGGGAGAATAGCAAGCTCTGTAGGAAAACCGATATGTACAGATAAACTTATAACCCAAGAAGCCAGGATATCATATGCTCGCATGTTGATTGAAATGGATGCGTTTCAGCCATTACCAAAGACAATGTTGATTGAAACTTCTGATGGAAAACACAAGGAGTAGATATTGAGCTATGATTGAAGGCTTCTTTTTGTCAAGATTGCCTTCAAATTGGCCAAACGGGCAACTGCAACAACGACCAGGCAGAAAGGAAGCAAAAAGCTGCTCCTGCTCCTAAAGGCCCCCTTTATCTCATAGAGAAGAATGCATGCAATAAGAAGCAAGCAGGAGAATAGTAGAAAAAAGGGAGGAAACAAGTTACTCAGTGGATAGCAAAGCCAGCTATAACCAAAGAACAACAATGTCAAACAGATAGAGCAAAGCCTAGGGTTACTACTAGTAAGGAGAACACTGCATAATTGATAAGGAAAGAAGAGAGTTCTGAATTGATAATGCAAGATGATCATTCTAAATTCCAATTAGCAAAAATCAAAGGAAAGCAGGTGCATAGCCCCAAAGTAAGGTCATCATTAAGGGATGGATTGTCGGATTAAGTTATGGAAGCAATGCTGCAGTAGAATAGATTTAGTGCCCTGAGAATTCAGGAAAAGGAAGTTGCCACCAGGTGACCAAAGAGAGCGGGGTACCCTTTGCACACACCCCATGATTATTAGTTCATAGAATATTAGAGGGCTTAATAAGCCCTACAAGCAGAAAGAACTCGCCTTTCTGCTTAAACACAAAATAACAGTACTAGGTTTCCTTGAGATGAAAATCAAAATCTGGAATGTTGAGAAAGATAAAAGAAAATTTGGAAGTGATTGGGAGATGTTTGCTAACTATTCACATGCTCCTAATGGGAGAATTTGGGTACTGTGGAAAACTCAGCAGGTGGATGTCAAAATAGTACTAGCAGGTTCCAATTGGTGCATTGTGAAGTCAGTGATAAAGGCTCAAACTTTACTTGCTGCTTGACTTTTGTGTATGGCTATAACACGATAGTAGGCTAGAGGAAAACATGGGAACAATTAAGACAAATCAACAACACTATGATGGAGGCATGGCTACTTCTAGGAGATTTTAACACTATGTTTTCTGTCACTGATAGAATCCATGGTAATCTTGTTAGCCAGGCTGAGGCGGAGGACTTACAAAAATGCATAACTGATATTGGACCGAGTCAGTTAAATAGAAAAGGATACCAATGGTCACGGTGCAACAAAAGGGAGGCTGAAGATAGAATCTACAATAATATAAATTGGGCTTTTGGCAACTCTCATTGGTTTATGAAGTACAATAATACGGAGGCACTATAAGAAAATTATGGGGTATCTGATCATTATCCTATACTAGTGTGCACTAAGGTCACCAAGAACTTTTTACCCAAACCTTTTAGGCCACTGAATATGTTGTTTAAGAGGACACTTTTAACCAGATAGTCCAAGAGGCCTGGAGCCAATCTATTCATGCCATGTATTAAGTATGGAAGAAACTGCAGATTCTAGGAGGTAGAACAAAAAGTCTCAACAGAACATTCAATTTTGTGGAGAAGCGGGTAGACATCCTAAATGAAAGACTACAGAGCATACAAGTTGATGTTGGTTCTGATCTCTTTAACAACCAATTGATCTTGGAGGAAAAGGAGATACTTGTGCAATTAGAGAAATAGGAAGGCATACAAGAGAAAGTGTACAGGCAGAAATCAAGGGCAGTTTGGATAGCAACAGGAGATTCAAACACAAAATTCTTCCATGCACATTTGAAAGCAAGACAGACTAGAAACAAAGTTTCTACTATATGCAATGAACATGGACAAAAATTGACTGATCCTTCTTTGGTTGAACAAGAGTTCATATCTTTTTTCTAGAACTTTCTAGGGACAAATACCACTAAGTTACCTTGCCTTGATGTTATAATAGCTAGAAATGGCCCCTGCTTAAACAGAGAATAACATCAAGAGATCATCAAGTCTTTGACTGATGAAGAAATCAAACAGGTACTTAAAGATATGCCTAATGACAAAGCCCCTGCCATTGATGGATTTCTAGCTGAGTTCTTCAGGACATATTGGGGGACTATTGAAGAAGAGGTTATAAAGGTTGTGAAGGAATTTTTTGAGAATGGGAAGCTGCTGAAAAATGTTAACAGTACTACTGTAACATTGGTGCCAAAGGTCTCAAGTCCCTCATATGTGAAAGAATTTTGACCAATAGCCTGTTGTACCACCTTATACAAGCTCATTGCTAAGATACTTACATCAAGATTGAAAATAGTGGTAGATTATATAGTTGGACCATCACAATCAATATTCATAGAAGGGAGGAGCATATTACACAATGTGATTATTGCCCATAAGCTGGTGAAGGGCTACACTCAAAAAGGAGTATCTCCCAGATGTGCCATAAAAGTGGACATAAGTAAGGCATATGATTCAGTTGAATGACCTTTCTTACGCATGGCTCTACTGAAATATGGGATCCCTAACAAAATAGTTTAGTGGATAATGGAATGTGTGACTACTGTGAACTAATCTTTGCCGATCAATGGTGGCCTAACTAATCATTTCCAAGCAAAGAAGGGTATGCGACAAGGGGATCCAATGTCTCTTTACTTGTTTGTCCTAGTAATGGAATACCTGAATAGAACTCTCAAGACACTTAAGGACAACCCTGACTTCAATTTTCATCCATGATGTGCAAAGTTGAACCTCACACATATCTGTTTTGCAGATGATTTAATAATGTGTTGTAGGGCTGACAAGACTTCCATACAGCTACTTCTTGACACATTCAATCATTTCTCAGAGGTTTCTGGACTCATGGCCAATTTGGATAAAAGCTTTGTCTATATGGCTGGAATTCCTCAGGAATTTAAAAAAATGATCATCTCTGAGTTACATTTCAAACTGGAGGGACTATCATTCAAATACTTGGGGGTGCCCCTATCATAAAAAATATTGACAGTGCAACAATGTATGCCACTGGTTGAGAAAGTCATTGCTCGAATCAAGTGCTGGACTACCAAATTTCTCTCATACAGTGGTCGACTACAGTTGATAAAGAGTGTCATATTTGAAATGCAAACCTACTGGGGACAAGTGTTTCTGCTGCTAAAAAAGATCATCCAATTAGTCACTAATCCTTGTAGGATTTTCTTATGGACAGACAATCATAACTCCTAAAAAAAGGCACTGATTGCGTGGGAAAAAGTATGTATGCCTACTTCAGCTGGAGGCTTGAATGTTATCAATTTCCTCTGGTGGAATAAAGCTGCACTATGCAAGTTAATATGGGCTATACATGGAAAGAAAGATGCTCTTTGGATAAGGTGGATATACAAA